GGTTTGGTATGCCTCCTGTCCACAAATGCTGTTCAGCTTCTGGGGGTAAGTGTGTTGGCTGAAGTATACCCCTGTGCGCAGGCATTTTGCACCACTTTACCACATACCATGTATGGCACAAGCCAGGTGTACAGGAATCTCACCAGAGGCAGTCCCACAATGCACAGGGCCTTTTCTTCTCTTCTTCCTGGCACTTCTTGGTACCAGGTATTGTTTAATCCCTCTTTTTCTTCCCGCCGGTCTCCAGAGAGTTTTCTACAGCTCAGAATAACGTCTACACTGCCAGTATGTCTGTGACGCCAGTTCCCCAGCCTCACAGGTGTAATTTGCCAGGCCGGGTCAGAGACACATGCATGTGAGACAACTCTGCAAGGTGACTAAGATATAAACCAGCAATCTGATAGTGCCCTAGCTATGTGCTCTCCTTAGGCTGAACTGTGAAAGATGCTTTCTAATTCTTCAGATCATATCTTTGGCTCTGGTCTTCAAAGAGATTGGAGGAAGCCTCTTTTGTTCAGAGTGAAGGTGAGGAGATTATTTCCCAGGTTTGGTATCTCTAGCCGTGGGGATATGGCAGCATTGTGCACCTCTTATTCAGCGGCGATGGGAGAGTTCCCAAAGGCTCTCTTGGGCAGAGGCCCCATGGTGATGTATACTATGGCAATATTCTCTCACCCCCTTTCACTGCTTTGAAGAAAAAAATTGCTAGTAGGAGAGGATTTTCCTGATAGACATCCCAGGAAGATATTAGCTTCCTGCAGCCTTGGTCGGCTTCAGGTTAGTGGCCTACACAGATATTTTCCTCACTTGCCTTCACCCTGTAAATGTCCTATTTGTGGAAGTCCTGAGTGCTAGTTAAACTGGTGCTTACAATTCAGTCATTGTTATAATGTGTTATAACTAACAAATGGACAAGGAAAAGGTTTGTGAGGAAGAGAGACCTGCATGTTTGCTCTTAGCCAAGCTGCTTTCCACTGCCTCTGACAACAGCTTCTTCCAGACAGAGTATTTGAGCTTAATGAATTTCAGGCTCATTTCACTTGCCTCCCATGTCCACATCATCCAGAATGGCTGGCAAATGTGTGTGTGTAGAGAAGAAAGAGCACTTATATGAAACACTTGCCAGCACAGGTATTGCTGTGGTGAATCTACACCACTCCCAATGTTGCTTCAAATATAGTTATTCTTCTGGTATCTGTAGACATTTTTCCTATCAGCATAAGCAAAGTGTCACTAGGTTAAGTGTAATGAAAATATAATGCGTAGTGTAATTAAGTGTAATGAAAACTCCTATCTAACAAGAATAAAAATCAGCTCCAAAGTACCTAACTTATTTATTTTTCTTTAACCAATAAACGAGAGGTAGCAGTGAGTCAAAGGAAACGTTTAATGTCTCACAGTGGCTGTGAGATTTGAGCAGTCTTTCTTGGCACAGCTCTCAGTTTTTAGAGACATGGAGCCTCCCTGCCAAAGTCCAAATGTTTTCCCCCAGCACCTCTCCACCATGGGTGCCTGGTGCCAGGGCAGAGAGCAAGGCAAGTATATTTGCTTCATGAGCTCTGCTCAAACACTAGCCACAAAAAGCTTTTGGGGGACGGGGTCCCACAGAGCATATGGTCATGTCCCCTAGCAGCCAGGCCTGCAAAAGTTGAGAAACAGTGCCCCTGCAGCTACCCTACACAACCCGTACTGCCAATAGGCTTGTAGTCCACAACCTGAAGCTTTTAAGAGGAATCATCTCCTTTAACATGTGGAAAACCTCGAGCTTCCTAGTTCACATGTGGGTGTGGAGGGGTATTTCTGTGGCTATGTGACAGCGCCTTGTCCAGCATTTGAAGCAGTGGCACCTTTAAAAAGAGAAAAAGAACATGTAGGGTATCTATCAGAGGGGAGCAGATTCCCTTTTCTGCTTTTGTCCTTCCCTTCTCCTCTCACCCCTTCTCATATGGACACACAGCTTTTTGCACTCGTGCCACCTCATGAGCAGTCAGGGCAGCCAGTAGGGTACATGAAGAAAAAGCAAGTGGATCTCGTGGATGGGCCGTAGGTGAAGAGAACTCTGAGCCAGAAAAAAAGGCTTGAAGTCTCCATTCTATAGCTCCAGAATAAATTGCACAAATGAGTTCCTCTTATCTCTGTGATATGAATATGGACCCATCTCTTGACATAAGCTCAGCTCCTATCTGTGGTTTTCTCTAAAGGATGCAAGAGGAGTGTGATGGGTCCAGGCCCAGGTGAAGACAATGAAGGTGCTAAAATGCTGGACTGGGTCCACCTGGCCACTTCAGGATTTTCTAGCTTGGCTCTTTCTGATGCCAGGTGGCCTCACAATTTAAAAGGGCTAGGCTAAAAACAGGTGCTGTATGGTCCTTAGCAGGAGAGCAGGATGGGTGCAGTAGGGCAGGCTGGGGTCTTGTTTAGTGCTATATTTTTCTGGGGATTGCTTGATCCCTTAGCTTTGATTATGGAGGTTCAGGGTGGCTTTTTTGCTGATCTCACCATGCTGGCTTGTGGCCAAGGAAACCTGCAGCTCACCCTGCCCCCAGGCTGGGAGGGAAATGCTTCTCTTGTACTGACCGCTTGGGGTAAGCGAGGATTATGTCAATAAACTTTCTTATTGCTGTATTGTTGCATGCTTCCAGGTATAGCTGAAATGAGAAGTGGGCTAGTTTTGCTGGGAAGTGCTGTCTAACAACTTTGTGTTTGTGTACTGGGGGCTGGCTGTATAACCCAGTGGTCTAACACTTGGGTGGAGTAGATGCATAATCTTGGAAGCCTCATTCCTTTACAGCTCTTTCTCTGCTGGCACAGACCCTAGTGCTAGGTGGAACAGTGTTTCCCACAGAAAAGTGGTGCTGTAGCTGTTGCTGTCTCCTCTGTGGGATGTTTAGGCCTTTCCTGCTGTTTTCTCTACCCCTAGATACAGAGGGGAAGGCACATGCTGTGCAGAATGACTCCAGCTGTGGTCTCTGGGTGTCTGGGACTCCAGATGGCTCCAGGAAAGTGTCCATCTCATATACTGGCTGCTATGTCTTTGAATGGGTGAGTGACCTTAGGAGCCCTACTGGGGCTGCAGCTACTGCTGCTCTGACTGCCCAGCCCTGACCTGTGTGGTTCTTCCCCCCAGGCAGGCAATTACTTCATGCTGGTTGGGATTGAAGGGGCAGATGCTGCTGGGCAAAAGGTTCTCCATGAAGAGAAGCTGCTCAGGTGCCCTGTGGACCTTCCTGGTAAGGCTCTGACATCTCTTTAGACACCTGCTTGTGGCTGTGAATGCGCTTCCCTTTTGGTGGCTGTTCCTAGGCAGACAGTGAGGGGATTGGAAGGAAAGGGGACTTCTTAGCACTGCACAGAAGACCCCTCAGAAGGGTTCAGACATAGGAGCCACCAGCTTGCTGGGGACTTGTGCTTACCTTGCGGATGGAGCAAGTGGATGTCTCCTGGCCATATTCTGACCACGTGAGTCTCTGCAAGTCCATGGATTGAGCCATAGGCTGTATGTATTAGAATGTCCTTTTCCCAGCTGCCACAGTTAATCCAGAACACCTTCTCTTGACTGATCCCTTGTGATCATGTTTCCTGTACATGACTATAGTGTGAGTCCCTGTTCCAGGGAAATGCAGGCCACTTCTGAAGAGATGATGCTCCAGTCTGTAGCCCTGCAGTGGGCTTCCAGGCTAGCTCCATGCCATGATTTTGACCCCTCACCCGAGTGTATGACCCTTCCTTGCATGCAGAGTCATTGGGATGCTTTTCCATGCAATGTCCCCTGTATCTTTCTCCCCCTATTCTTGTGCTTCTACTGGAAGCTCCTGCTGTCTCTTCCAGCCCTGGATGCTCCAAGCAGTAGCGTCTGTTCTGCTGTTGACAGCCAAGATCGGCTTCCCTGTGCCTCTGTGCCCATAAACTGGGGAGAGTGTGAAGAGCGAGGCTGTTGTTACAATCCTAGGGACAGGGTGAAGCCTTGTTACTATGGTAACACAGGTAAGTGTGTGTGAGTAACTCTCCTCTTGGCATCCTGGAGGAGCTGATGAGTGGGATACCTCATTTCTGTGGTGGAGCAGGGCTGGTGTGTACCAGTGGGTAAATGGTGTAGGGCTGCATTTTTGGCTGTAGAGAATACTCTACCCCATTGAAGTGTCCAGCCTTTAATCTGTATTGCAACCAAACCTGGATTTATGGCCAGAATTACAGTGTTACTATCAGATGTGAGGCAACAGAGTTGGTTACACCTCTGTCATACTGTGTTCCACACTTGCTCTGTGGACTTTGGGCAGGAGAGTTTGCAGAATTTGTTGCCCTTATCTTTCCTGTAGTGGTTGAAACTTGCCCTCCTTCCCACTTGCTTTCCCTCAGCTCAAGACTGAGTTCTGTTTTCTTCCAGTTACAGCTCATTGCACACCAGATGGCCAGTTCTCCATTGCAGTCTCTCGGGATGTGACTCTGCCACCCATTATCCTGGAGTCTGTGCATCTGGCCAGTGGACACAGTAGTGGCTGCATTCCTGTAGTGAAGAACAATGTGTTTGTTGTGTACCAGTTCCCACTCTCTGCCTGTGGCACTACTTTTCAGGTAACAGCTGCAGTGGTCACTAGGCTGGAATAGCAGGAGTTTGCAGACCTCAAACAACCTGCAGTGGCTTGGCTGTTTAGGGCCGCGACTTGGAAACCTCCACTTAGATGCCCTATAGACTTTCAGAGGCCAGACACTGTTCTCCAGTCTGACGTTAATCCAACCTGACTTTACTGATGCCTCAATAACTGGTCTGTCAATGCAGGTGGTTGGAGACCAGGGCATATATGAGAATGAGTTGGTGGCATCTAGAGATGTGAAGACTGGGAAGCTTGGCTCCATCACTAGGGACAGCACTTTCAGGTAATATTCTGGGGCTGGTATTAACAAATGCCACTATATCCAGCATCTCTAGAGAAATTCCTACTTGTCACAAGTTCTGAACTTGCAGCAGGGGTACTGGAATAGGCTAGGGACTGGTACATCTCCAGCTAGCGGGTATAAAGCTGATGTTGATCAGTTACACTTTGCAGACTCAAGTCTGCACTCTGAAGAGAAATTCAAGTAGTTAAGGGATACACTGATTAGTCATATTGCCACAGCATTTCCAAAGAAGATTATGGGTTGTGTATACTAGAGAAAAGGGATGTGAGAGTGACCTTGGGTCATCTACCTGACTTGGGGTTTTCTTGTCCCACCAGGTTACATGTACGCTGCAGTTACCCCATCAGTGGGAACTTCATTCCCTTGAGTGTTCAGGTCTTCACATTGCCGCCACTCCCTGCTGTGTCCCAGCCTGGTCCTCTATCTTTGGAGATGCGCATTGCCTCAGGTAGGAGGGCGACAGGACTTGCTATCCCCTCTCGGTGCAGGGCTCTGGTCCCTGTATCTGGTGATAAGGGAGTCCTCATAGGTGAGAAGCAGTACCAGGATTCACCTGCCACGTTGGGGACTTGCTGCCATGGCTATCTCTAACTGCTATTCCTGATCTGTTTTTGTGTATTTCTTCTGACTCAGATGAAAGCTATAGATCCTACTATACTGATGGTGACTATCCTGTGGTGAAGGCTCTGAGAGACCCCATCTATGCAGAGGTCCAGATCCTTCAGAGAATGGACCCAGCACTGGTTCTTGTCTTGCACCACTGCTGGGCCACTCCAAGCATTCATCCCCATCAACAGCCACAGTGGCCAGTCTTGGTGGATGGGTGAGTGATTTGTAGATAGTTTTGGGTTAGGGGAGTGCCTGACTCCTCTTCACTGCTGATCTTTTCTTCTCAGGTGTCCCTATAAAGGGGACAACTACCAGACACAGCTAGTGCCCCTGGGTACTGCCTCAGGACTACAGTTCCCCTCTCACTACCAGCGTTTCACCCTCTACACGTTCACGTTTGTGGACGCTACTTCCCAACAGATGCTCTCTGGGCTGGTAAGATCCTCCTCTTGGAGCTAGTATGTTCTTGAGATCAAATAACAAGTATGAGCAATAAAAACCCCTTTTTACCGATGAGACTCTTGGCCTTCTTGGGGCTCCAAAGGCTAGGAAGATCCTCTCTTGAAATGGGATGGGCAGAGGTTAGTATAAAACTCTTCACTTATCTGAGACGAATGCAGTAGTGGTAAGATGCCTCTTTGGAGGTATCTCGCAGAAAATGAAAATACTGAAAGAGTGGCTCTGACTGAACAAGTGCTAGCTTGCTGCCTGCCTAAGCTGTTCTGTTGAACTAGCTTAGGGTGCATGGTCTAGCCACATTGATAAGTATTCTCTAAAAAAAACTTTGTTCAAGAGATTGTTTAGAAGTAGCTCTTGGAACTTGGAAAGCATCTGGGCCCTGAATCTTGGGAACTTCTGAGCAGGAGTCATGAAGTTCACCATGCCTTGCTTGCTCAGTGTTGCTGAGATCAGTACTAAAAGCTGGTTCCAGCTCTGCCTAGGCAGTGGTCAGTGTAGTGGTGTTTGAACAGCTGTGTTAATCCCAGGTGTTAGGGAGAAGTGCTGTAACTCCAGAGCTGACCTCAGTTTGAAGGCTGTATGGTAGAGGTATCAAAGCCCTCTGATAGCAGGTAACAGAGGGCTCCAGGCTAAAGCCTGCAGATGAAGCAAACCACAGCAATTTTACTGCCTTCTCATTTCTGAGACCAGCACGCTGTCTATCCACAGATGTTGACTCTGATTCAAGGCCATGCCCCTTCTTTTTAGGTGCATCTGCACTGCAGTGCCTCAGTGTGCCACCAGTCTATACAGGGATCTTGCACCACCACCTGTCCTGCTGGAGCCAGTGAGTGCCCTATCCTTGCTGCTTCCCTACCAAAACCAAAAGAGACAACAAGGGTCTAGTCCCCAATGTGTGTGTGTGGGGGGGGGGGGGGGGAGAGGAACACAGATCCTACTGACTGATTCTGTTGGTGATGCTCTATGGGGCACTTGCTGCTCCTTTCTGCTGAGGAAGGATCTTTGCCCTCATACCAAGGAAGCAGATGCCTTCATAGGCTCTTAGTCCTGTTCTTACCCACTTAGACATTTTGGCTGTCTGTTGACAGACAGAGTTGGACAGAATGTGGCAGACAATGTGCAATGGGAATACAGAGCATCTGCTCCCTGGGCCCAGAGTAGGTGTTGGCAAGGGTCTCTCTGCCTAACATGATATTCAGGACCATGCATTTCATCTAAAACTTCCCCTGTCCTGTAGGGGGTAAAAGGAGTGCTGAACATCACCTTCAGGAGAATGTCTCCCATGTCACCAGTAAAGGCCCTGTGATCCTCCTGCAGGATCAGCTAAGACTGAAAACTGCTATGGATGGCCTTGGTAAGTGTGTAGGCCCACTGTATCCAGGCTGGGGAAGGGGGCTTGTATGAGTCTTTCCTGTGGAAAGAGAACCTAATATGTTCCTGTACTCAGGGCCAGGGAGTCCTAACTGAGACCTCTCCCTCCCACAGGAGCAGCTATGCATGCAGCAGTCCCTTGGGCTCTGGGCTTTGCTGCTGGGGCAGTTCTGTGTATGGTGCTTGTGGCTGCTGTGCTGTGGCAAAGGAAGACACCTGTAATGCATGAAATAAATGTACTGCAATAAAGTAGCTGCTAAACCCGCTTGTCTGTGGGGATCGTTCTAGCTAACCCAGAGTATGCGAGTAGAACAGGAATGTGTTTCAGGGCTCTAGCTGTAGGCCCTTGTCTGGGGTTGCAAGGCAAAATAATCCTGACAGTTTGACAGATGGTTCTCCAAATGCTGTCTCTGCTGTTCTGCTCTGGGGTTGGTGTTGAGTGTCTGCCCTCAAGAGGGAGCCCCTGTTGTCACCTGGGATCCTGGGAAGCTACAGCCTGAAATAGGAGTGATGCTGTGTGGCACCTGCATTTCTGTCGGTGACTAAGCTAGCCTTTCAAAAGCATTTACCTTGACTCATCTTAAATGCTGACTGGAAGTTCAGTAAAACTAATTAAAGCAAATTCTGTGCTGATCTGTTGTGTTTGGGAGAGGCAGACCTGGTATTTGGACTGCACAGGGTTGCAGGGAACTTGCTGAGGGGGAATCACACAAGTGTCCTGGGGCTCCCCAGATAAGCTGGGGCTGTGCTCATGTGGCAGGACTCAGAGGAAGGGGTAGCAAAGTGCTCTGCAGCTAGGTCTACCTAGTGATGTACATGAACCTGCCTCCCCTGTCCTGAAGAGAAAGGGGCAGATAAAAAGCTACTTGAGGCAGAGAACAGAAAACATCAGCCTTTCTGACAAAGAGTCAAAGGGCCTAGGTGATCTGAACATCAGAAATAGACTCAAACTGGGTTTAAGGACTGACTTTGAATCGTCATGTGAGAGCAGACAGTTAGGAGTAGTCCTCAAAGCTCTCAAATTGCAGCTTATTTGATACCACTACTAGCGTAACAGTTCATGGAGATGCTTTAGAGATGAGAAATAACTCACTTTGAGCATTTGCAGGGGAAGGTCTGTCTGGTGTACTCAGTTACAGCAGTTGAGCAGATGGAGGATAACTTCATGTCTGGATTATTCCAAACTTCCCAATGTTGTGGGGAGACTGGGTGCCACTGTTTTTTCCCCCTCCTGACCAGGCTTAGGGAGCTGTGGTTCCTGCACTTGCACTTAAGTTGTTGATTTCATTTTGGTTTTTGTTTGCTTTGGGGATGTGTATGTTTTAAAGTATGTAGTAATTCTTGAGCAAGGACTTCTGAGGGGAGGAAAAGTACTTGCTGTTTTCACAGACTGACTAGAAACTCCCCCTGCAAAAAGACAGGGGGAAGCCTCTTGAAACATACTACTTACCTCCCTTTTAAAGGGCAGAACTGCTCCTAAGTTCTTAGAAGCAAAAAAACCTGAGTACTGCCTTGCTTGGTGTAGCAGATACTGTTTAGTTTAATTGGCTGCTGCTGTACTGTGTGAGATTGGATGGTGTTTCCAGGTGGTGGAAACTGTTTTAAATTCCTCATTCCAACAAATTTCAGGAATCGCCTCATTGTGTTTTAACTTTTCTGGCAGAACTGCTTTTCCCCAACTCAAGGACAACTGGCACTTGGACAGTCTTGTCTTTCAAACTCTACCTAGGATAAGAGAAGAGGGATTCCTCCAAGTCCTATGGTAGGAGGGGGAAGGTGATCACAGGCTAGAGAAATCATCAGTTAGGAATAGGTCAACAAAGCCATTCCTAAAGGAGGAAGGTGACAATTATGTGGCCTTGGTACTGGTGCAGATTTCTAGGAAAACTGTGTGTACCTTCATAAAATGTGCTGTATGACCTGGTTTTAACAGCTGTCTGTAATGTCAGGTAACTGGGCACTTAGATGTGGTACTGGCTGCATCTTTTCAGTACTCCAAGCAGGGTGCTCTGTAATTCCATTTGCTAGCAAATATCTAAAAGCACCTCCTGGCTGCTGGAGCCTTCCCATGCCTGTCTGTAAAGCAGACAGATATATACCTACAAAGGTTAGCTGCCTGTGCACGTGCTGAAGCAGCCGGGGCCATAGTCTCAGGGATCCACTAGGTCCCTGCAGGGACTGTCACTTCCTGTGCCCAGCTGGATCTTGCTAATGGGCTGCTGCCAAACGCAGTGGTAAGTGAAGGTGCGGGAGCAAGGAAGCAAACTGCATTCCCTTTCCTCTTTCTGGGAATCCTTTTGTATTTAAGGGACACTACTTGGCCACTAGCAGGAGGGGAAAGGCACGAATAGCAGCGGGGCCAAGTTGCCCCTGTGAAGCGCTGGCTCAGGCAAAAGCTGGCAGCCCTGAGGCCTCTTCCTTGGCCACCTCACCCCCCTCTTCCACAGGCTGTCTGTTCTTCTCCCTCCCCACTGGGGTGTGCTAGAGCCTTTCACTGCCCCTTTGTGCTGCAGCCTTCCCTTTTGCAAAACTCTCTTCCCTTGCTGTGTTCCCAGGCAAATTCCTGGCCTTCCTCCCAGGCCTTTCCTTCCCTTAGATGGGTCTCGCTGACCTCCTTCTCTACTTCTCTTCTAGTTTGAGTGTGTGTCTTCTCCCGTGTCAGTATCTTTAGCTTCCTGTTAATGGGATAACACATAGGTGCTGGCTGGCTGCAGGGCTGCTCTTCCACAGCCTCTCCCTCACTCACAGCCCATGCCACCCTTCTGAACCATGCAGCTTTCCTCCACCTGGAGGAATCTAAACTAATGTTGACAGCAACCCACAGCACCTGTAGTTTGGCTGTATAACTGGGTCAGTATGGAGTGTATGTTCAGCAGTGCCAAATTCCCCTGATAATCTAGACAGCAGTGATGGCAAACAGGAGTTTGGCAACTCTAGGAGTCCTGGGGAGAAATACCCTTTTTTAAAGGGGTTGTATGAGCTTGCAGAAGCTCTTGGGAGCAAAGTTAATACAGCTGGGAGACTAGGGAGCAGTGGCATGTATGTGGCAGCTGCACTCAGGTGTGATGTGGCTACTCACGGGCAGCTGCACTCAGGTGTGATGTGGCTGCTCATGGTCTCCAGGGCTGGTGCTGGCTTTGCAAGGTAGAAGGCCTATGAGTGGGATAATGGCTGTAGGTGCCCTATTCCGTGAGCTATCTGCAAAATCAGTCACCCAAATGTTGGGTCCCTATCCTAGCCCTTCGTAGGAAAGAGCTGTTGTGCACTACTGGTAATGAATCCAGACTTTCAGAAATGCATCTTAATTCTGAGTGTCTGCATGCCTTGTCCCAGATGCCTTCACCCTTGTCTTGTCAAGTGTTGTCTGTTGCCCCTCATCGTCTGCCTGCTCTGCAGCTTTGCAACAAAGTCCAGGAACAGCTCCTAGAGACAGAGCTCTCCAAAACAAACAGCCACTGTCAGGCATTACCTGTGACCTTTCCAAAGGCTCTCCTGTTCCTCAGAGTTTCTTCAAGAACAGCACCAGCCTCAAAGGAACAAACCTACATTTTTGCAGAGCTAAGTACTTTAAAAGTCTGGAGGTAACAATTTTCTTCTTGACCAGCTGTGCTCACCTGAAGCCTTTAAATGTGTAGCACTTACTGCATCTCAGCCCAGGTTTTAATAAAGCTCTGAAGCAAATTTATTTCATAATAGTGATGTTTTATTAAATTTTATGCTTGTATTACAATGCATCCTGGAGTAGAGAACTATACAGTATGTTACATAGTATAAATATATTTCTGGAAATACATGAATATATTTCATATAATGCTGTGGTAAAAAATGCTAGTTCATTCTAGTTTAAAAATAATTATATAATGGGAATGTAGTTATAAAAAAAATACCAGTTTATGATGCTAGTCTTAATACTTTAAGTCCAGTTCTGCACTGATTCACATTCCTTATAGTCTCTGTAAAGCTGGAAGGATAATGGAGGGTATAGGATAATGGAGGGTATAAGATAGTATAGGATTTTTTGCCCCCTCTGTTCATGGAGATATGCTGACTATTCACAGAATAATCAAGTTATAAATCTTTCTAGCTTTTGATGAAGCTAGGAAGATATACAGTGAATAACTGAGTCCTGCAGCAGCTAAAACTAATGACAACTGAAATATTGAACACAGCACTTACTTCAAGGTGTTAACTCAGTCAGCACAAACTTTTGCTTTTTGTTGTTAAGTAACAACAGTAATATTGAACTTCCCTGAAAGCATTCTGAGCACTCAGAAACAGGCCTGGGCTGCCTCCAGTCATTCTCACAAACTACAGCCATGCTGTCAGAGTGTGGCCTGTCCTTCCAATTAAGAGTAGCCTTCACCTCACACTGCTTGGTCCTAGAACTGAGATCAAACCAACCTTCCTGGGTTGGGATATTCTGAATTTCAGATCCTGTTCTCTTGTTTTGTGGGCTTCAGCTGATCTGGGTCAGCATAGGGGAAGCATCTGTTACTCAAAGGCTGAGCCTGCTAAAGCTGGCCTGTTCCTGCTGGCTTCTCAAACCTGTTCTCAAGCAAGTAAGGATGGGTAGGGAATGGGAGGGGTTAAACTGCAGTTATGTGACTTTTTTTTTTTTTACAATTATAATTTAATGGGTAGAATAGCCTTGTAACAAGAAGTAAAGATAGTTTATCTAAACTCTTACTCCATGTGCATGAATGCTAGAATCAGTAAGAGCTAGTGTGCAGAGACCGGAGCAGCAATGGGACCTTTAGAAGGACACGCTCCCTGTAGCCCGAGTCTGAAATTAGTGAACACAGGGCAATAAGGTAGCCACCAAACATGGCCCTAGTGTTATAAAGAAGTTAGGACCCAAAAGAATAGCCCTTAAGAGGGAAGAGAAAGCATACGTATAGTTGAATGACTCTTCCTTGCAGCCCTGCTCTCCCCTGTACTCTTTCCTTTTTTTAGGTCCAGCGTGTTCGTCAGATGGCCACTGCAGCCTCCAGGGGTCCTTAACTTATAACTTAAAAGTGGAAATTCAAGCCTTGTCCCCTTAAAGATTAACAGGGCAGAGAGCTGGGCTGCCCAGTGCAGCTGAGGTGCTGTCTTCAATGCACCCTCACTCAGGTCTCTCAAAAGATTGATTCCTGGGGTACCCCTTGCTCTGCTCACTGCAGTGAGCCTGCATGGAAGCTGGTTTTTGCATGGGGCAGCACCAAAGTAAAGAGGCCTTCACAGAAGGAGCTCCCCCACAGAATTAGAAGTGAAGGGTAGATTTGGGAACAGCCTTTTAGGATATCTTTGCTTCACAGACTTGGTTCTTCTTTTGGATGCCACCAAGCCTGTATTGCTGGCTGGGTGCAGCTCTTGTTTGAGCTGCAGTCTCTGCTGGCACCTACCTCCCTAGAGGGCGGAAGCTATTCTCCCCATCAACTATTGCTGCCCTGGACAAGGAGTCTGGCACTTTTCCAGGTACTGTTGTCTTCTGTAAGGCTTAGCTTCCTTCACCTGGAGAAGGTCCCCAGAAAGCAATGATAACTTAAAAGCTTCAGTACTTCAGGTGATTCTGTTCCTAACCCAGAGCAGAAAAAGATTTACCAAATCTTATTTAAAAGTCCCTATTGGTTACGTTGCTGAGATGCTGGCTATGGTTTTCATGGGGTTTGGTTTTGTAAGCATAATTCAGAGTTGGGAGTGAAGCCAGGCATAGCTGAGCACACATCTCTCCACACACCTCTCTCAATCTCTCTGCTCCCTCTTTCAACACCAAATCAGAGTTCCTCTGTTGACAGCTGTAGTATGCAAGTTGCACAAAGTAACCCTGGGATTTTCAGTTCTGTGTCCATTGATGTTCCCCTCTTTCCTTTCTGAAACAAGAACAGGCAGTGAAGATTAGAGATTAAAAAGGGATTCTTTGCACTTAGCCAGTGGACTAAGTTCTTACTCAGCTGAACCTTCCATCTTCTGGAAGGTATGTTTCTCTTAGCTTAAATTATGGGTAGACTGTCCATTCCCATAGTATATGGTTGGTTTATTATTTGGAGTGTTTTGACTAAGACTGCAGATAACTGAATTTGCTGCTGCGTTTCTTGAGTGCAATGCAAATGGCCTGTGTGATGAAGCTTTAATGATTGGAGGCCTTAAATTAACTTTTTTTTAAACTGGGCTTTTTAAAAAAAAAAAAAAAAAAAGCATTTGGGCCAATCCTCAACAGACAAAAACCCCTAAAAATTAAACTTCAAAAATCTGACTTATTCTTTGTCTTTGCACATTGGAACATGTCTGGATGAAGGAACAGGATTGTGTCACTTCTATTCTGAAAGCAGGCAAAAAACCAAAGCAAAACATCATTCTTTACTAATTCTTTTACCTTGTTCCATTTGGGTTATCAGAAAGGCCATATGTTCTCATTCTTTGTATTTTGCCCCAGAACAATCATGGAGTTCCTCTCGGTTTTCCTCAGCTCTGAAGACATAATATCTGGCCTTAACAAATGGGAAAATACAATTAAAGTTGACAGCGGTCAGAACATTTGGATGTATTTTTGGCATTAATATGCTGTGTATATGTACCCAACATCCAAGCTGCACCCAGAGTAATAATTTCCCCCCTCTCCAGTTTGAAATTCCAAAACAGATGCTGTCCAAATATTTGTGGCAGCATCCAAAAAAGGGAGCTATAAAATGCATCACTTGGCATGGAGTCATAACATAAGAAAATAAAATGTGTCCATCTGTAGAGAACAACCAGTATTTTCTGCCTAGCTGGAAGGGAGGGGGAGGGATAGGCTCATGGCTAAGCATCACAAGGAAGTTTAAAATTCTGGCTGAAGTAGTAAGTAGGGAATGAAACATTGTGAAGAACAAGACTAAGCTGTTCTGGACTGTATCTAGCTTAATTCTTTTTTGCTGCTTATTACACTTATTTCAAATGGGTGTGATGTGTCCTGTTTGGTTTTAACAGCTTTGTTAGGTCCATGTCTAATGAAAGATGAATCTTTTGGAACATCTTTTTAAACAATTGCTATTTAAGAAAGAAAAGCTGTTTTTCTCAAAAATGCAGTATTTCAAAGCTACTGATAAAATTTTCAAATTTAAGTCCTGTTTGATGTGGTGCAAGCCTTTTTTCTTTTTAATTTGTGTTGCATGATTTTTGTTTCATCAGCTTATGCAATGAAAAAAAGTCAAACTTCTGCCTGGACTTCTATTCTCCGATTCTTTGGCTACCCCACAGCTCTGGCAAGCGCAGGTGTCCCTTGGTAGTAACTTCCGAATGAAGTACAGCATTCAGAGTTGCATAAGCTCTTGGGCTCTGCTTCTGGGGCACTTGTCAGCCTTTGTGCAAGACAGTTCTGAGTGTGGCTTTTGCCGTGTTGGGACTGTACTGTCCTGCCTAACTTATTTCACCCCAGCCAGAACATGGGCATCATACAGCAGCCAGCTTTTGTGCAGCTGTCAAACTGCAACTAACATCCTCGCAATAAAAGACACCTTAACTTTAGATTAGCTCATTCCCACACAGCTACATTAAAGTGACAGCTCTCATAGATACGTAGGTAGCTGTGCCTGAGCAGGAACGCCAGCCTGTGACTGTCCAAAGCTTCCCCATTCAGTTCCTGCCCTAGAAAAGGATTGAAGATAGTGTCAGAAAAGCTCCTGCATACAGCTGCTTTCACAGGTATGGCTGCCTCTGTATCTCTGGCAGCCGCAAAACAACCGCTGGGCTGGGCTGCTTTCCACAGCAGTCTCAGGAAGCAGCGGCCACCTGTGAACCTGTTTGCTTGTCTTCCAGGGAACTGGAGAGAGTGAGGGAAAATGACACAAAGGTCCTCTGCATTCCTCTGTGACCCTGGAGTTTTGGGGGTAGCAACACCAATCTAGCCAGATATGTCTTCCCATGTATTTTATAATGTCAGATAGACTGACAATATACGGGCAATAAAATGATCAAGGCAAATTCCTGTAGAATTTGCAGCCCAGCTTTCACAGGCTAGCCTGGGTTCTCTCCACGCTATTCAAACCAGCCTCAGTCGGTTTAGTTGTTTATCTAGGGCAAGCGTTTGCCCTTTTGATGTTTAGCTACCCTTTGAGAACAATTTTCATCACTAAAACAAAGTCAAAGTGGAATGGCAAAAAGGTCTTGTCTTGGGGGCCATCTTGGAAGTGTTCCTTGCTCTGGGCAGAGGGATCGCTCCCCAATGACTTGGGGAATAAATCTACTTTTCTGTCATAGGTCAGATCCAGATCCATGCACTGCTTAAGTTCATAACACTGTGATCAAGTCTTTCATAGGTCTGCACTGGCCGTTTGCACAAAATAGGCTTTCCTTTGTGGGAGTAAAAGCACTAGCAGGAAAAAGAAAATGAAATGAAAAACGCAGCCTGTTGAGAACAATGTACAACAAACCACTGAGTCTTGTGCCGTGTGTTTACCTTGGCAGGCCCCCATTTCTCCCTCTGGAAGCTCCAGGTTCTCTCTACTATGAGAATTCTTTTGTGGACGTTTAAAAAAAAAAAGTCAGAAAAGAAAAACAAAACAACCACCCTCAAGCAGATCATTCATCATATGCAGAGTGGGAGCATGAAAGGGGATTTGCTTTGACCTAGTTACAAAAACAAAGAGACTTTCTCTAATTGCCTGAATGACTCAAGTGGGACTGGGTGTCAAAAGCAAGAAATCTGTGCTTCCTTCAGAGCTATATGTTAATACAGGACAACAGGCTCCAGCCTGTTCCAGTTCAAGACCTTAGGAGATATCTCAGAGCCCAAGGAAGCCTGAGTAAGCAAAAGCCAGCTGATCCCATATGCTGCATGTATGAACAAGACCAGGAGCCAGGGCAAACGTGTTTCATAAACTGCAACAAAGACAGTGGCTTTAAATGCTGAGGGCTTTAATGTTCCCTCTGCCAAGAACTGGAGCCCAGCAAGAGTTTCTTGTTTTACCATCATAGTACTGCTGTGGGGGGAGCCTGGCTTTCTGTCTAGCAGCATTTGCAGGGCTTCCACTGATCCCCTAAGGCCTAACTTTTTATTTCAAAGGAGCCTGAGGGCAGTTAGGTGCCCAGAGTGCCATAGGAGTAGGGTTACCAGCTTTTCTAGGCACCAGTGAAAAGGCCAGTGTCAATGCAATGCAATGCAATGTTGTACCCAGGGATGTGGGCCAAAGAGAGCAAGAGCAAATAGAGGTAGGGCTGGGGAACAAGAGCCAGGAAGTGGGAGAAGGAAGACTGCAGGGAGTATAGGGCATGGGTAGGGGTAAGGCATATATGTAGATATGTGGGAGGAAGAGCCTTAGAGGCAAAAGAGAAAGACATTTTAGCAGCTACAGAAAGCAGTCTGGAAAAAAAAAAATCAACATGTAAGATTTCTGGGGCTCTCCAGTTCCAGCCAGGTCTTGTTCTCTAACGTTTCCATGACAGCTGTAGTTTGGTCTAAGGCATACACAAAAGTAGCAACGCTATTTCTATTAGGAACTATTGGGCCAGTCCTTCAGTGGAACTGCACAGATTTAGCTAGATGAGGATCTAGCCTGTGCTTCTCATGCAGGGTGCGCTGGCAGTATCCTCAGCGCTGCAGAGAAAAGGCCAGGCAGGAGGTTACAGAGACAGGACTTTTCTGAAGCCCAAATAATGCTTGGGTCTAATTTAGATTGAGCTGGGAGGTTCACGAGAGTTTGTATTTTTTCCCCAGCTGGTTCACCATTTATTTTAGCTGGAACTGTTTGATCTCCTTCTGCTTTGTGTTTCTTTCAGTTTCCCAAACAATAGCAGGAAGCTTGCCTGTTACGTGTGTTTGGGCCCCAACCAAGCTCTTCCCAGCTGGAAAAATCGCTCCATGAACTATAGAGGTTTTTCCAGCTGTAACTACAAGATTCCTAGTTCCCTTTTGCATTTTGTAAAGTAGGTACAGGCTGTCTAAGGGGAACAATGAGACATTCCTGAGTGCTTAAACAACTGCTGTTTTCCAACCATCACCCCCACTAAAACCTACGGAGGGCACGTTTGAGCTGTTCCAGTCAAGATTACTAAGATCACAGCTGAAAAAACACAGGGAGGTACCCAGCTCCATGTGATACTGTTGCTTCAGTGAGTGAGATACCCAGGCTCTTCCTATTACCTACTTACCTACACGACCACCACAAATTCAGGAGGCCAGCTGGGAGTACTTGGTAAACGTATAGAGAGTACCTGTGCAATGGGCAGCTGACAGTGCTGCCATCACCTTGGAAAGAGATGTCCACTGCACAGGATAGCTCAGGTATAAGCCAGACCGGAACTAGCCTAGTAGATAAACTAATCCAAGGGACCAGCATGGACCTCCTAATAGAGGTGAGACCTTGTGCTTTCCCTAAACATTCATCCATAGCAATGAGCAGGACCCACCCAAGAGCACATACTCAGCAAACCATATCTCCTCTTCCTCTGAGAGGAAACCTTCCAGCTGATTCTGACTGTCCCACCCTGTCATGCATCAGAGGCATTATGGGTTACTGTTCCCCTAGATGAAAGGTGTGAAGCAGGATGGGAGAGAGCATTAACCTTGACTGGAATGCTTAGGAGGGCCCGAAAGAAAAAAGATTAGAGTATGGACTAGCTCTGGGCAGTTGTGAACATCCCTTTGTCCTACTGGGTGGGAGTGCCTTCTTTGTGGGGAGGAACCTCAGTTTTTCCGTTATTTCTCACACAGGTAACATTATCCTGTTGGGATCTTAAAGCACCTGGACCCTAAGGAAGCAAAAGGCAGTGCTGGCCAGGACCACCAGTATGCAATAGGATGTAAATAAGGAGGGGTCCTCTGGCTCAGCAGCAACCACAGGTAAATCTCTCAACACCTCCTCCCAATGCTAAGTGAAAGCCTCCCACAGCTCTGCCTTACCTGTACAGCTGTGGGCAGGACCTCTTCAGAGCAGCAGAGGACAGCCCCAGCTTGCTCTGGTTTCTCAGCCGTGTCTTCCTCATAAGATCTCTCATTCTCCCCCAGGCATGGCTTTCACCCTAGGGAGCAAAACCAAACCACAGCTTGCAAGGCCAGAAGCTGGCTGCTGGCAGACCTCACCTGGCCAGCATATGACACTTCGGGTATCCCACTCAAACTACTTTCCTAGCAAGAGCTTCACTCCTGGTAGAGGTAATATAGGGCTGTGACCCCTCCACCCCCCCAACTCCATATGATACCAACCGTTGCTTCGAGTTTTTTTTGTTTTGGGCAGGTGGGGAGGACTTTAGTTTTAGTTACGTAGTAAGATGGGATTGATCGACTATCAGTAACACCTTCTCTCTTGTATTTTGCCCTGGTAACGTTTCTGTGTCTAGGACCCTGCTGTTCTTTCTGAGTTAATGTTTCAGAAAATGAAAGCACTTTGCTGGTGAGCGCTGAGGAGGTGCCTAAAGGCAGATTTTTCCTACCTACTTACATCCGCACAAGGGACCATTTACAACAAAAACAACCTAAAAAAACAGTTTAACTCCCTTTTCCTTTCTGACAGGCATAAGTGTGTTGGTATCAGCCATTTTCAAGGTGGCAACATTTTGTGGACCCTGAATTTTAAAAGAACAAGGCTTTGTTTCTCCATCATGTCTGTAAGCCACAGCTACTGGGCACTTACATTTGAAACGCTAATAGTGATTTTCAGGAGATCAGGAAGTCTCATGAGGCTTTCCCCCATGTTCCCTCCAGGACTGAACTCATCCTGGTGAGTTCAAATGTGCTATGTTTCCAAAAAAAAAAAAAAAATCCTAAAGTAATGGCTGGAAAACCTTGGGGACAGAATGAAAAAGAACATTTCCCAGGGCTAACTTAATGGGCAGAAATGATGCCTGTTTTAGTGAAGTTCTCAGAACCATTGTCACATTTGTGGCATTGTTCTGTGTCTCCCAAGGTGCCTTCCCCACTGTGCCACGCGGCAAAGGGATCGCTCTGTGAATTGTGGCCACCTTGGGAGCAGAACCTGACAGCTGCCAAGCAACTCACACAGCAAGCTGGGGAGAGCATATTGCAGTAATTCTTCTTTAGGGTCCACTAAGTTTTCAATTGAAAACTTCAGATGAGGTCATGGGCTCAGCTGAAAACTGCAATACTGGTTTCAGTGCTATTGAGTTAATTGCTCTTAAGTGAGACTTTATTCATGAAAATATCAAACCTCTGTGTTATTACTAAGAATAACATATGTTGTGGACAGGTTTTGAAGGCCTCAACAAAGCTAGTCCTGGGGATGCCCCAGAAAAGCAAGCACTGTTAATATCACAGGAAGCCTGAGCAGTTGCTTACTTCTGAAGACCAGCTAGCTGTTGCCTGCAATGAGTATGGGAGAACAATGGATCAAATACAGTCAGGCATAAGAAGAATGTATGTGGGGCTGTTACTTTGACAGTAAGTTTTGGGGTCAGTGATCCTCTTTTGTTCATATATAATGCACTATAGGGGCTTGGTCCCTGACAACGCAGATATAAATTAAATACATTCATCAAAAGCAGTACATACCGAGATGTTCTTACTGATGTCCAGACCCTAAAAATAAAGACAAATAAACTGATAAATAACATGCCAGGGAAATCGTTTCAGGGTGTTGGGAACAGACTGGGCTCTGTTCTCAGCTCTGCCCTGCAGTCCCTCACATGTGGGTGATGATACCCTCTTTCCTCCACCTTTTGTCTCTTTTGTATTAGACTGCCAGTTCACATATATAGCACTTAGTAACCAGGAACTAGTGTGGCAGGATTTCCATACAGTACCTGCAGTTGTAAAGTAAATGGGATAGTTCATGCTCAGAGTATAGAGTGAAAGAGTGACAATACTAAGGTGTGGTGTAAGAGAGCACTAGGATTCAGGTTAAAGAGTGTGGCACTTGATTCCACAGTCCTGTGAAGTCATCAGAGCTTCCCAGGTGCTTAAAATAACGCTCATACTCAAGAACTTTGCTGGATGCAAGCCAGAGCACTAAGCACCTTCCAGAATTCAGCCTTGATTGGGTCTCTGAAGTTCATCCAAATGTTTGCTACCCATTTGCAACTTTGGGGTGGAAATTTCATGAGAAGGTCTTTCCCGTGAGAGACCCACACTTTCCTCTTTCCTGTAAGGCTGGGAATACTCCGATTACAGCCTCTGCCCTGGTATTTCAGCACTTCTGATCCCCACAGGAACCTAAAAGTGCTGAGGCAGCCACAAACAATGGGAAAGAGAGGGAGAGGAAAAGCATTTACCCTGGCTTCCTTGGATTTCAGTGATAGGGTTTCTCTGAAACAGGCTTTGGGGGGGTTGAAGTTAATTACACTAACACACTGCCAATCTGGCAACAAGTATTCCCGGCTAAGGTCAGCCCACTAAAATGTTCATGTCTGCTAATAAATGTATGCTTGCTTTAATCTCACTAGCAGCAGTAGTGAAGATACTTTATGCATCAAGTGTCGGGAGTTAGCAAGGGATAAAGCCAATACCACTATCTGTAGTGCTGTTCTCCCTTGTGCCAGGCTCGTACTATGGTTGTGCCTTTCTCGTCATATGGAGGTAGCCATCATCTTTGTTTAAGGCTGGGACTAGGGAGGCACAGGCCACCCTTGCCCTCACTTTTCCTGCCCTGCTCAGTAGCAGACAGGGCCAGTTTGTTCTTCCAGGAGCCCCACTTCGCTCTCTCGACGTTTGCCTGAGCAGAACTTCTCCCTGCTTATTCCACAGATCCCACTAGAGGTCTGGCTCCAAGCTTGTAACTCACCTTTCTTACTGCAGGGTCCTTTGATGGAAAAGCTTGTCCCTCAGCCACGCCACAGGCTTCTCTGAACTCATTCTCCTTGTTGCTCCTATTGTTCAATGATTTCCTGAGCCCCATCATCAGCTGGCTGTTTCCTGATTCTGGGTATCTCTCACTTCCTGCAATGAAATGCAAGGGCTTGCTCACATTTCTCGGCAGCGGCCTGCTAGTATGGCCTCTGAGCAGTTTCACCAGCAAGTTGTGACTCCAGACAGGATGAGACCCCTACAGATGGGTGGCTCCACACTGCGCTCTGTTTCTACCTTGCTTTGCTGCAAAGAGCCCAAGCAAGTGTCTGACTAGGGCAGACTTTCTAATGGCTTCCTCATGGTCTTATTTTTCTTCCGGACCTGCTCTGAAATTGCCAGGAAAGGTAGCGGGGAGAGGAAAGAGCATTTCTGCACTAGAGATCTCAAAGGCCATTACATTCTGACTGAATCCTACCAGGAAGTGTGTTGCTGCTATGCATTTCACCAGGCAGACCCAGATCCAAGGTTCAAAATAAACTAATCAGCCTCATTTAGTGGGCTAGTTCACATCTAAGTTTGGCTCCAGACTTTTCAGCTGGCTTTATTATCAGTAGGCTGAGCCCAGTCCTTCTCAGCCTTCTGGAAAAGTTGGTCTCTGAATCCAAGCTTTGCAGCTTGGTCTATAGAATAAGTTATGCTCTAGGAATGTGTTCTCTGCCTGCTTGAGATAGTAGCAGACTAATAATAGGCTTAAGGCTTTCCATCTTAGATCAAATTATATCTTGGTTGGGGAGGATCTCAAAGCCCCACAAAGGGGCTGTGCTAATGCACTGATTCAGCCATGCCAAGTTTCCACCAGACAGACATGTTTGATAATGCATTTGTCCTAATCTCTGTAGCCACATCTTCACTGGGCAAAAATGCCTGCTTCACAAAAATGCTTGTGTGAAGAAGCAAGTGTTAAATTCCTGGTGTAGACAAAGCATTTTAAAATGCATCTCTTAGTAGAATTAAACCTTAGCTGGGAAGCTAACACCTTGCTTTGTTCCCATCTGTCCTTCCTAGGGAAAAGGAAGTTGCTGGTCAGGTTATTTCAGCAGTTGGTGACAAGCATGACTGTAGGCTGGAGGTATTTGAACTCACCACTGCAGCTGCTCAGCTTTTCAGTGTTCGCTCCTATTTCTGGGATGATGGAAAGATCTGAAGGGTTTCCAGTCTGAACCAAGAGGCTGTGAGGTCTGCTCCTCCCAGTAAAAAACGTTTTCACCTCTTGGTATGAGTTGAGGAAGACGCTGGCAGCTCCACAAGAGCAATGCTGCAGAAGGTACTCCTACACCAAACAAGAAGAAAGTATGCAGACTGTTAGGCTGCAACAGCCCAAAGTAACTGGGCAGTATGCTAGTGCAGACAGATTGCAAGCATTCCAGCCCAGGGATGCCCACCTCATCCCGAGACCTGTCAGGACCCAGACAAATGATTTAGCTCGGTAAATGGCCAAGCAGCCTGGAGGTGGTAATGTAGATTTTCCATTGGTAAGAGTTTTCTTAAAGCTATAAAGCTAAAGCGAGAATGTAGTAAAGCAGTTCCTTGTTTATCCATGCAATAGCTATTCAGCAGAGGAAAATATTTTAACAAGCTGAGTTGCATGTCGTCTTGAGCCTATGTGAATTCTTTGCCTGATCATTTAGTAATCCTTGTAATTGTGACACTCTGGGACTCTGCTGATATCAGAAAAATCGATGATTGCATCCAACTTTTGAGAGCGACTGAGAATCTGACACTAGTGCTCCCAAATGAAACATTTTGAACAGAAATGAGCCAGAACCAAATCTCTGTCTGCAAGCAGGCCCAGACATCAGAAGAGTTTCAAATCAAACTGAATCTGACAAATGAGGCATTTCTTTCCAATGGGGCAACCCAAACACGAATGAATGCCATGTATGAAATCCTAGTGCTGTGGTTTGAACCAAGCAGTAATTTCAGCATTTCTGTAGTAACCCCAAAAATTCAGGAGAGCCCAGGTTTTTCTCAGCTTCTGAAACCACCACTGCAAACATCAATTGTTCTGTTTCCCATCTGCTCCCGGGTTTTACTGAAGTCCTGTCTTAGCTATATAGTTTCTCTATGAGATTCTTTGGTCCCTTTTCTGCTTGAGGTGAATTCTACAGTGTCTTTACAACATTGACACTGATGTTCCTCTCAGTCAGGGACGGTTCTGTTTGTGAGTGCCCAACTTTTGGACATTGAGGTCCTTGACTAGTAGAAATAGGAGCAGCTCTACTGATCTGAAGTGGAAGATGTCAGTTTATATTCGCCATTTATAGTCAGGTTGTAACAGTCCTCTGGAGGGGTTATGATTTCATATATTTGGGGTTCTTCACCCCTAAAATAGTTTTCCTCAGTAAATGAGTTTGTTAGCCAGCTGGTCCTGAAAGGGTGGAGATTGCACTGGGTGCTCTGAACCTTGCAGTTTCTGCCGAAGGCTGGGAAGCTGAAGCACAGAGAGTAGTGACTAATATTCAATGCGTAAGTGACATGCTGAAAATCCCTAGGTGTTTAAATTAAATTGCCTGATACTCAGCATCTTTTGGATTTGCTTCCCAGGAGTTGAACACAAGTTTCTAAACACACAGCTGCTCAACTGAGGCATTTGTATAAATAAACAGAACTGCTATAACAGTGATTCACATTTTAAGATAATGTTATTTGTTTGGGAACGTGCACAGACAACAATATCTTGTATTTTTATTGATGGGATGCCATAGTTTGCTTAAATGTTATCACACAGATACACTGTATGTGGTACTTCAGTTGTTTGCCAAAGCAGTGATGTTTTAGTGTCTTTTAAATGGCTTTACATGAAGATGTTTCATGAGGGCATTTGGAATTGAATCAAGATTTTCCATTTTGTTACATCTCTCCATTCTTTGGGGCTTATTACAGAGCAGTCCTTTTATCTGAGTACGGTATGGCTCATTTCTCCTGTAACTGGCATGATGTTGGGTGGGGGAAATGTTCTGCCTTGCGCAACCATTTTGTACAAGAGTTTAGGAGGGCAGGAAGCAAGGAAGGTTTATCGAGTGGAAGAGGAAAGGGAATCAAACTTTTTATTGGTATTGGAGCCAGGACAGGCAAACACCAGTTTAGCACCTTTGGAGACCCACAAGCAACTGACAGTTTCAACGTAACATCTCATTTGAATATGACGAATATGGCATTTTGCAGTAGCTACAGCTTGGTGGGGGTGCTTGAAAAGCTGATGACGGGTGATCCTTTTGGCCCAGGTCATTAAAGATTTCTTTGCAGAGCAGCAGATGTAGAGTAACGGTGTCCCAGGATCAACACCATACCCAGCAGCACCTGCTGCAATTATGTCTGGGAGGTCTCTTCATAAGGGCGGAAGTCATTAAGACGATGAGATTCACAGCAAAGGCAAGGATATGTCCCTTGCTTTTGGAGGGGGATCCATGCACCCTCTGGCAGGGGGGTGCAACAGCACAGCATTTTGCCAAAGATTAAATACTTCTCTGGGGAAAATTTGCTTGGAAGAATGATGATAAAAGAAGGCTTCCCAAATGTTCAAAGTTTTCAGTCGTCCTGCTTGGGCAAGGCCAGTCCTGTGAGTTATGGTGTGCTTTCAGCTTCTTGTGATGTGACCTGCCTAGGGCCTTGTGGAATCAATCAGTATAGCTCTATCGACTTCAGCAACCTGCATTACTTGAGTGCTTGTAGAAATGTTATCGTTCCCCATGGGGATGTCGGTACTGCTCTGAAGAGCAGTGATGAGAGCATAGGCCGTCTGCCACCCCTATATGTGTATGTTTGGTGATACCCAGAACCAGCTTTTAATGCCTCACTAAGCCTTCTCTGCTCTGGGAGTTGTGTGTTCCCTAGCTGCATTTAGGATATGGAAATCTTTCCATGCTCATGGTCTGCCTGGAGAGTGCACGCGGTCTGGAAAGCAATCTTAGGACACACTCCAAGGTGCCACATGGACAGTACACGGACAGTATCCTCTCAGCACCCATATCTCTTGGCTAATGGGGAGAGTGGTGTTTCTCTTGCATACAGAGGGGCTATGAGACTGAAGAGGAGAATGACAGAAAGCTGTTCTGATACAAGAGGCACAGGCACCAAAGCAATACCCAAGAGTGAGCACCCGGTTTTGCAGTGTGCTGGAAGTGCCAAGTGCTGAATGTTACAACTGGGGGTTGGATTCCCTGTTTTTTCTGCTGAACAGTGTGAGATGTGCAGCTGAAAAGGCTCTGCTGAGACATCTTGAAAAATACCAAAAAGATCAAAGTTTCAAATATTTAAATGAAAGCACAGTGTCTTTCATTTTAGTGGGAGCTGGGGAGGAGGGGGCACGTACACCAGATGAGGATTTAACCTTGAAATTGCAGCTTGGAAGAGTTACTTTGAGCAATGACTCACAGTTGTAGAGCTTCAGGAAATGCATTAACAATTCCCAGGCTCTATGTAGGAGGCTGCATTCTTCTGAGTGTGAGAGATGGCTACATGGAAATGACGGGCTCTGCTGCTTTGTGACCTGACTCACAACTTCGCTTTGGCTCTGAGAAGGAGTCAGTCACCTACTGCAGATCCAGACCCAGCAGGTGGGAGAGCAGCACCGGGTGGGGGGGGAATGACACTGTCAGGAAAATAAAAGCCTCGCCACAGCATAGCTGAGAAGAAACAGCTGAGTTTGACAAACCTCTCCTGTTCCTTTGGGGGTGATAAAATAAATAAAAAGAAGACAGAAGAAAGGGAGAGGAAGAGAAGAGCTGGAAACCCGGTGTGGTGGCCAAAGAAAAGGAACTGAGAAACAGAGGTTGGGTAGAGCTGAGCAAAACATGCAGGGGCTAAAAAATGCTGTTTGAAAGGAAGCTGAAATGAATTGAAAATTTGAGGCAAATTCCACAGCTAGTACTGGCTGATAAAAAAGACAAATGAGATGTTTCATTTTGGAGATTCTTCATCTGGCAGCTCACTTCAGAAAGGCAGAAAGGAAAAGAGAGGATGAGAATTGGGTAGCTGTACTACAGCTTCTCTTTCCCATTGTGTCTATTTTGTGGGACTTCTGGGATTCTGACAGTTTAAAACCAGAAGGAAAAGAAAGAGCTTTCAACTTGCCTCAAAATGTATTTCAATTCAAAACAGAACTGCTTGGGGAAGGGGGGGGGGCTGTCTGTGGAAATGTTTTGTTTTGATAACATTGACAAAGGGAGATGTGTTATGGGGGAAACCTTCAACTGCAGACAAGTTAAAGCTCCTGATTCTGAGCTGGCCATCTCACAAGGTGAGATGGATCCTTTTCAAATGAACAGAAGCAAGCATATGGTAACTAGGATATTTAGGAAACAAAATTCAATACCAGTAGAAATCCAAGCCCACCCTCTAAGGGAGGCTGAGGCTGCTGTGGTGGACAAGGGCTCCCTGAAGACCAGAACACCCAGCCTGGGTGGGCTGGTCCGTGAGTGTATATATATATGTCATTTAATGAAATATATGATGGTGTCTGCTTACCTCCTTTATCTGGCTCATCTTCTGCTCTTTTTGTAAGCTGCACACTTGCTTTTGGAGCCGCAAGTTGTGCTCCTGTAGCTGCCCAATCTTCTCAATCAGTTGGCAAATGTGTTCCAGATATCCCAGGCCAGATCCCAGGACTTTGTTGCTCCCTTGGTTCACCTGCAATGACAGTAAAGCTTAGACCACAGAGTGACAGCAGAGCAGTCCTTACTAGCAGCTGGAGCCCAGCCTGCCCCTTACAGTAGCGTCAGCTGTAGTAAAGCCTCATGAGAGGCTTCCTCTCATGAGAGGCTTTGGTTATAACTAGAATCAAGCTATAACTTCTCTGCTCACAGCTCTTTTCTGAAGTCACCCAGCAAGATGCTCTGTCAGAAAGACTCTTCTGCCTGATCACAAGCTGGGGCAAAGGAAAACTTCACGTCTGTTTCTAGTCCTCAGGCAGATCAGGTGGGTTCAGATACACAATCAGCCTTGTAATGCTCATCCTGCAAAATACGATTTACACCCTCTGGCTGGCTGGCTGGCTGACATGGAGATAGGACTCTGATTGTTACCAGCTCCAGCACCCCTACAAATACATACGCTATCCCTCTGTGGTATAAATGGCTGGGAGTAGTGGCGTTCCACTGCGACTTACTTAGCTCATAGCCTTCAGTAGAAGTTAGGACCCGTTTGTATTGGGGCTGAGCTTGGCTCATACACAAAGGCATATAAGTGCAGGTTACGGTGATTTGCCACTTTATGACCAACTTGGGGATAAATTTTGTCTGCCTTTCACAGTGTGCAACAGTTATGGCACCCTTGAACTTAGAGCCACATCACCAGTGGGACAGTGGGAGGGATATGTGCCTTAACCAAACTGCTGAAGTGAAAGAGCATCTTTCCATTTGTCTTTAGTAGATCCCAGCTTAAGTCCCTGCTGCTACTTTCTCAGTCATCAAGAGACATCAGAAGAATGTCTGCAGGATCAAGCATGCCGTCTGGCTATGTCAGGAAATTGCAAGTGCAGCAACAAGTCACCCTAAAATGCTTTTATTCAGAGCATGGGAACAGATAGTCAGTGCAGGGGGGAAACATTGTATTGTTGTGAGTTTTGCTGTGCAGTGGTTCTCTGAGGTCATGTGTTGCTCATGTGAAAAAGGTTTGCTCTCAGCTTTAGCCATCTGCTTGGAGGTTATGTTCAAGACACAGTAGCTACTTGGGAACTGGGCAGTAGGAGATGATGTGATTTTTGGACCGCCTTTGTGCTACCTGTGAACAGGTGCCCACAGTGTTTAGGTATCAGCCAAATAACTTGGGCAATGACCAGACTGTGCCCCTGATCTCTCCCTGTGCAGGCCCTGCAGAGTCTCGCTGCTGTGCTGCCCAGCCAAGGCAGAGCAGTTACCCTGTGCCAGAGGAAGGACAACAGTGTTTCCAGTCTCCTACTCTGCACCTCACAATTTCTGGCCCCAGGACATTCCCATGCACGTTACAAGCATGCTTTGCTCTGCACTGTGAATGGACTCGGTCAAACATACGGCTAACAAATACAGACAGAGGCTCACTTCCACCTTGGCGCTGCCTGCTGATGTGCATGTGATATCAGTAAGTAAAATAAACCTAGATCTTTACAAAAGCAGTGCTCTAAGTTTATCTTATTTCAAAAAATAAGTTCCCTCTACAAAAGCAGGAAGCTTACTCTGTCTCCTTTCCCACAACAATCGACATTTTTGGGGAAATGCCAGCTTTGGGACTCTTCCTGTCTTTTCATTATGTCAGAAAGCTCATGGTGTGTTCAAAAATAATCAACATTAGGATTTACTTCTTTTTAAACAAATGATGATACAATGTTATTTATAAATAAGTATTATTATGTCCAGATGCTTTTGTGCCTGAGGTTGGGACATAGGTCACATGAAATCATACAAAAAACTATGATGACTCCATGCCAATCAGTCATTCACATTCATGGTTTTTATTTTCCTCTTGGCCAGAGCCTGTAGAAGTGGTGGCAGGACAAAGGTTATTCAGCCATAAAAAAAAAACTCATTCCTTACTGTGTGTGTATAGCAGGAGGGGGCACAGCCCCAGGACCCACTGGGAGAACAGAGCCCATGGGGTGCCTGCTGGGAAGAGCTGGGATCTGTGCATTTTAGCCAAGATGTCCAAAAGCAGCTAGCAATTTTGGTGTGTCCAGCTTCAGAAATATGATTTTCAGAAAGTACCTGAGTACCAGCTTCTTAGAATCAGACCTTTCTAAGCTATCCCAAAACAGGCAGTTAGAAATTCCTCATTCCCCTTGAAAATGTAGGCTTTCTGCCACTCTGTTCCCTCTTTTTGCAGTTAAAAAATTCCTGTTCTGCCAGTTTGCTGTTGCAGTCAGATGTCCTTGCTGAAGACACAAGGGAAGACCACAAGGGGCGGGCAAGTTCTTGTAAAAAAAAGAATAAACTGAAAAGTTTGGCTATAATCTCAGGAATGGGGAGAAAACATGAAGCATTTGAGTATGACTTCTTTTGGGCAGGGATTGTCTTTTTGTTTCATGTTTGTCCAGCACCTAATACTGTAAGACGCAACTTCGTATTCACAGCTGCTAGGTTTATAGGATGAAAAAAGCAGGTGGAGGAGAACAGAAGGTAGTCTGATTTCCAATGGTCTGTGCCTAGGGCTGAAGGCACTTGGAAGCAAAGGCATGTTTTGGGCAGCCATCAAGAAAATCTGGCTTTTATCAAAAGTTAGAGAACTTCAAGCTACTAAGAATGACCACAGGTCCCCAGAAGAAAAGAAGGAAAGGTATAGAGCAGTTGCTCCAGGCCATGGGGCAAGGGGGATTTACCACTGCGAGGGCCTAAAGCATACTGCAGATTTGACCCAGTACAACTGGTATGCTGGAGGCCCCTCATTTGACAGACATCCTTCAGAGGCTGCTCATGGCAGGCAGTTCAAGCTATTTAATAGGAACTTAATTTCCATTTTGTTGTAGTAGTCCTACTGAGGACAAATGAGCAAAAGGCAAATCAGGCAAGGTCTTCAGCGGCTGTCCACCCCTGCAGGGTCAGCCGTCTCTGGGGTCAACACGCAAGCGTAAGAGCTTTTAAGGAGGATGCTTCACCCTGCTCTGCCTGCCGCAAGGCTCATTAGGGTCAGCGTTGCTCAGATATGGCAGGCATCTAATACAGAAAGTCTGTGTAATCTGGCAGGTTGCCTCCCAGATGATAGCTCAGAGAGTGCCCCTCCAGGGGCCCTTCCAGGAATTTCTTTTTGGTAGACTGGAAATATTTAAACACCACTCGCTATCTTATGCTTCATGCCACATGCAGCGTAGAACCTGCTCTGTGACATTCTGGTCTAAATATTTTCCTCTCAGTGCTGAAGAGAGAGGTTTTGCTAGCAGTTGAGGGAGTAGCAACCATAGGAAAACTACACACATTTTCCATGATGAAACCCTTCCAGTCCCTGTCCTCCCAACTGAAGCTTCTCAAAACATTCACCTATGGGACTGAAATTTTTCCGGTTCCCAGCATGAAGATAGTTGAATACTGTGGAACAAAGCTATGTACCCATTTTTGAGTTGATGATACCAACAAAGCAGGAAAAGCATCTCACCCATTGTTTTGAAGGTGCAGCTGTAAAGCATCAGACTGATACAATTTTAGAACAGACTGTTACAGTTGCAATAGGAAAGTAACAACCTGGTGTGTAAATAGCTGCCAGATTTTGCTTTCAGGTATATCAGATTGAGCCAGACCCTAAGCCAGAAAAAAGGGCACCAGGGTTTTCAGCTCTACTGTGCTGAGTTACACCACTAAAGTTTTGACCCTGTGGCGTTAAGGGGCACTAAGCTGGATTTACATCAGTGTTACTGAGAAGAGATCTCTGCGTGTGTGAGAGCTCACCTCATTAAGTTTCGGGGACAGATTTTTTTCAGCACATGTAGCCCTACTCAGATAGCAATAAATCAGCACAGTTTTGCTGGCCCATTGGTCTCTTAGGAAGCCTAAAAATGCAGGACCAACATCTGCACTGGGAATTTAGCTCTTATCTAGAGCCCTTTAGTCAACATTTTGGCTGGTGTAAAATCATTTTTTTCCTCTGGAATCACCAGGGTTGCAGACCTGGGAATCTGTCCCTCGGTCCCTGGGTGCGTATAACAGTGCTCGCTGCAGTATCTGAGCACAACAGAGGTTTGAAGTTCAAGTGGGAACTTGTTTGAAGTGCAGTGGGAGCTGCAAGGACAGTCATTTTCAGGTCTCTTGCCCAAGTGAGGTATAATCAAAATCCGCATTTCTGATCATCTATCCAGCGCTCTGTCCTACCTGATTTAAATTGTAAACTATTATTTTGATGCACGTGGTGGGCTTCTCTTCAGCTGGGCTCACTGGAAAACTCTGGGCTGGATGTGGCAGCAGAAGCTGAGGACAGCAGGCAGGATTAGCTCAGAGGTGAAGCTCTGCTTCGTTCAGACTAGAGCTCTCCTGTGCTCCTTGCAATGACTTAGGTTTCTGCACTTCCTGCAGTGGCTTTTCACTTTCTCTTGTGGATAGCATTGAGTTATACAATGCTCCGCACTCAGATAAATCCCTCTCTGCTCGCTCCTGCTGCGTTACAGCACAGCCAAGGAGGAGGCAGTGCAATACCCGTGCCAACAGCCAAGAGACGTAATTACACACCGTCCATCGTGGCCTTGGAATACTCCATCAGTGACGTCATGGGCTGAGTGAGAAACATTTTTCAGTGGAAGCTGACAGCACCAAAAGGCTTGTGAATAACAGGAAAGAGAAGGATCGTGTTGTGTATTTCTGACTGCTCCACCCTGCTGTCCAGGAATGGCCATGCTGGCTGATAACTTGCAGTTTCCTCTGAGCAGCACGCACAGGCTACAGGCACAGTGTCACAGGTTGCCATGTACTTCCCCCAAACCCTAGCACACTCTGTAAAGAAGTATTTTGACTGCTTTGGCCAGGGGTAGTTTAGCACTGTGTGAATAATGAGTTTTTTCATTGAATGCCAACACCGCTCCTGCCCTCTCCCTTCTTCTAGGGGGCTAGGCTGAGTTTAAATGTAAACTTTATGGAGGATGAGGAAGGGTTTGCAAAGCAAAAGCATCAAAAACTACATATCTTCAAACTGACCCGAAACATTTAATATAGCTTAAAAGGAAATGCTTTTACTTAGGCTTCAAAGATCTTTCATGTGTTGTTTAACAGTTTCCACTTCCTTTCATCTTTTTAACTGTAGGTGAATTTCAAAATAATGCCAGCTCAAAACAAAAGATCAAAAAGTTTTGTTTAAGAAATGCCAGACTGAAATGATGTGATGTATATTTTCAGCCAAAGCCTTCACCAAATGAATCCAGATTGTCCAAACATTTGGTCCTTCCAGACTCTCTTTTTCAGCATTTGTTTTTCAGATCGCCTCCTGTTCTCTAGGACATGGCCTCATCAGTGAAGATGGCTGGGAGGACGTCAAGGTCTGTCCTCATCCAGTGGCTGACTCCCCCTCGGCTGCCAGAGTGCAAGCAAGCGCAGTGCTGGCAGCTTCGCTGCAGCCAGCCGGGCTGGGAAAACCCAACTGCTCTCCTGTTATTTGACAGTTGTACTTCCAAAGACAGCAACAGAACTGAGGAAGCCGCTATCAGCCATAATATGCTTATCCTGGCGTTAGAGTTACAAGAATGCCTGCTGTGGCTTATATCAACATGACTTTAACACAATAGGAATTAATTTGATGGGGCAGTTTGGTTTGCCATGCTACCCACACTCCTTGTGTCCATGCTACCCAAACAGAGTGGGAATATGCTGAACTGGCCTGCTGTCTTTCAAACAACATTGATTGCATTTCAGGAGATATCTGAGTCCCTGAGACCACATCAGGCCAGATGAGAGATTGGCTCCCAAGTACCATGTTGTATCTGGGACAGGTTTCAGGAAAATGTGAAAACCACCATGTGAGCATGGAGCAGAACCTCAGCTGGAGTGAACCAAGATGCATCCATCAGCTCTAAGATTGGATGGTCATCTGGGCCACAGTTTCTGAAAGGTTGCACCCCATCCTGCCTCTGCTATATGACACTGAGGACACTTGTGCAGGTTTAGCAAGGGGACAAAGCTCCAGGGCTGCAATAAGCGGTACCTGTGCTCTTACACACATAGGATGGAGCAGCCACAGGGCTGTGTAGCAGCCACGGGTGTTTGTTGCTCCAGCCAGCCTGGGTATTAGCTGGCCTCGCAGCAGCCTGAAAAGTGCTGTTCTTGAGATACAGCAGCCTGGAGATGCTCTGTTAAGAGGGGCACGCTTCCCCAGCGTCTAGGCCACAGCTGTATTTATACAGCTCTAAAAGCAAACAAAGAAAAGTGCTCTGGGGCACAGAGCTTTAGCACTCAGCCAGTGAGGATATTAAAAAGGAGGGGAGATAAGCAACTGAGAGCTTCATTTCCTCTTCAGCTTCTTTCTAATTTATTCTCTTGTTTATTTAAATGCTTTGCTTTGGGAAACTGAGGCTCCATTTCACAAAGGATTTAAAGGAATGTCATGGGCAGCTGGAGCTGCCAGGCAAGGTCAGCCTGGCTGCAAACCCCCAGAGCGCGACAGGGAATTTAGGTAACTGCTTATAAAGTCTCCTTGTGTCCAAACTCTCTTGCTCCAGTCCTTTTCCCAGCTCTCTGACAAAAGGCTAGGTCACTGTATCTTTGGGAACCACTGCCCAATACATGTCTTACTTCTGCCGTGTGTGAGATGGCTCTGAGGAGGAGGAGGCTGCTCAGTGTGATCATATGGTGTTTGTGCTATCTAGATATATTATGTTGACAGAGATGGGCCTGAACTACAGAGCCCATCTTTGACCTTCCTTGCTGCTCGGCAGGGGTTTGGCATGTTGAAGGGGAAGGCCATCGCTCACTGGCTCAAGGCTAGGCAGAGAGGTCACGGTGAAGCGTGTTTATTGTATGCACAGCACATAGCATTTGTCACTTGGCTTCCTCCCTGACTCCCATCCCAATTCATCACTATCACAGTGACAAAGGCCCCAGAATGGGAAGTGATGACTGAGCATGTGACGGCAAAACAGCCCCAAAGACTGATAACTTCAGGCTGCTCTTCCCCAGACCTGATTAGTGATTTGAGGTGACTCCCTCTGTGGTATCTTCGAAAGGTCCTGCTTTTCAGGAGTCTTGGGATCAGCACTTTCTGGTAACTCATCCCTGTGGCACATTTCAAGATGAGCCAGCAGAATCCACTGTTCCCAAAAACTCAGGAAATATTAACAGAAGTACCTCTTTAGAAGGTGCAGACACCTAATTCCTTCTAAAATAGGGAGTAACTAGGGTGCCTAAATAAATGTCTTTAAGATACACACATCTTTCTGATCTCTTTCTTCCCTCTTAAAGAGGGGGATGCTTCTTAAAAAGGGAATGTGAGTGGCAGGCCCTGCTGCTCTGATGACTAGAGAGATGAGCAACAGAGAGAAAAGCAGCACACTGCATCTACTGAAAAGAATTGCCTGTTATGCACTGCTCAAAGTGTTTGGTGTGTCTGTGTGATAGCTCTTCACCTAGCCCGTCCCGTCCTTTCCCCTTGGCTCATGGGGCTCTTTGATCTGCCCCTCTCTCTCTCTCTCTCTCTCTCTCTCCCTCCCAAGAATTAGCTCCTCAGTTAGATCTTTTCATTACTGGTTCTTGGAAGCCGCTGCAGCAGGTAAGCGAGTCAGCGATCTGTCAGCAAATCGGTGTGGAGCTTCAGACAAATACTGGAGTGAGCTTTTGCCAGCATTCAATATGGGAGCAGGTGTACAGATGGGCTTTTTATTTGCCTGTCAGTGACTGAAGCAATTCTGTAGCTGCATGGCAGATTCAGCAGCTGCACAGCACACCCAGCACTGGGAAACAGAGTTCAGCGTAGGACAAGCTGCTGAAAACAATACGTCTTTGCAGTTATGCAAAGACTCTGTTTGTCAGTCTCAAACTATAGAGGTTTCCACCACAGTTGTGTGGGTGATTTAAAATGGGATCTCCATCTCCAGCACAGCAAAGATAGGAGTTTGCACATAAATTCCCTGCTCACTCACTATTCAAGAGAGAGGCCCTTGAGCCAACTCCAGGCTGTGATAGGAATAAGCTAGCCCTTAGACAAGTTCTTCCAAAGTTCTGAACCCCAACAGCTGTCCAGCTGTTCCCAGGAACGGGAATAACTTGGCCTTAAAATAGGCACTATGTTCTGATCCCCATCCCATGTATCAGAGATGGTGTGATTCTGCAAGATGACTAACTTCACAACCTTTATGTTTAACAGCAGAAGCAATTACATCCTCTAATCTAAGGTTCTATGAAACATCAGATCCTCATGAGCTTAGTCATCCTCATCTAGCACAATAAATGTGAATTACTTCAGAATTTCACTGCCATGAAAAGAGCTCTTAAAAATCAATTGCAACCATTTGCTGATCACTACAGTTTCAAGGGAGATTTTTTGAATAACTCAGATGTGTCCTAATTTGCTGACAGACAATAGAACCTGAGAGAGTTATTTGGACAAGCCTAGCTATACAATTTGGTTTATGTGTCTTTCTTACCTCGCTCAGTCTACAGCATTCGTCCATATATTCATCCAGACTGTCACTTGTGGGGTACTTCTTCAGCTGATGTTCATGGATCTGAAGGTCTTGCACGCTGCCAAAGGTCTCTGGGTAATGGTCAGCAATGGTCTTTGGCTCTTCTACAGGAGCTGGAGTGGGAAGTGTGTTTTCCCTAGGAAGGTCCATCTCTTGGGTAGGTTGCTTTTCCAGAGATTGCATTTCACTTTGGTCAAAATGTTGTTTGGGACTTTGTCCTTCCTGAGGGATACTGAAGTCTTCAAGGGAAGCTGTAGGAACCTGCACAGCATCTACCTCCTGGCTGTAGTACTCAGCTTGCTTTTCACTCTCTGGGCCATGGCTAGCTTTTCTGGCCCGCTCTTTACATGTTCTCATTATCAGATGGTCAATTTCTGGAGAGGAAGAGGTGCTAAGCACCCCGGAGTCACAAAACGAGTCTCTGCTGTGAAGCACAAAGCTCTTCTCCGAACCTGTCGGCGTAGATGGAGAGTTAGCCCCACTAGGCAATTCAACCCCTGAGTCCTCAGACTCAAATTTGGAAAATCTGTGAAGTCGGCATTTGGACTCAAAGGTGCTGAGGTCAGGCAGTGTGGCTATGTAGTCAGTGCTCGCCGGCGTTTCTGCATAATCTGGATTTGCTGGTGTGGCTGTTGCCTTCAGATTTCCCTGGCAGTCCAGTGGGAGATTGACACCAGGAAGATGGGATTTTTCTGTGCAATCTGTGTCAGCTGGAGGCTCGGGTATTAACCCTGGATTTTGAATTCCTTCATTGCTCAGTATCTTCATATGTGTTAGCACTACCGTGTCCTCAGCAGGTGGGCTCTTCTTACCTGCTTAAAAAGAAACAAATAGTCATAAGAGACTGCAAAACTCAGTCTATTCTATAGTGCATCCCCTGAGGGATGTGAAAGGTAAAACTGTCTACGTTCGTGAAGTAGAAGGGAGGGCAGTCCTAATTTGTTTTTCTTGAGCTACATGAATCTTGCTTATAGACAACAGAAGTCCTACAACAGAAATGTGCTTCGTAGACTCAGACTGCTTCAGAGGGAGTCATAAATGCACACAGATTTAGTAGATAGGCAGAAAACAACACGTGCAGCCAAAGGACTTTTCAGAGTTTTCATGTGTACAGATGCAGAGGAGCACCTGTTCTTTCAGCACGATAAACGCTAATTTGAGCCTAAAATATTTCCTCTGATTAAATTTATTGTGAAACAAGAGAAAATGGCAAAACTAAATCTGGATTTCTGCAGACCTAAGTGAATTTTGGGTTGCACCAAGTAATTTGCAAACTGTTTGGTTAGCAGCGTTCACTGCACACAGGCAGGTGATGAAAAGCAGGTACTCACAGGAAAATTAAACCAGGCACAGTAGATCTTTTTTATTTCCTGTATGTTTTTAACTATGAAATCATTTCTTTAAATGAAGTCCTACCTTCCTTGTAAAGAGAAAGGACATGGGAGCAGCTTTGTTCATGAGGTTTTTTGCATATGGACAAAGAAGATTTGTTTCCACATCACAATTGTTTCACACAGTGATGTGGATGATCTGTAGAACAGTCTCTGGATGAAAGGTTGATATTTTTGGAAGATCAGACCCAAGGTTTCCTTAGTGTTTTTTTGAATCTAACATTTCACAGCTCAGACTTCTGGTTCACAGAGAGCCAGTGTGAAAAGCCTGCATCCATCCCTTAGCAAACTGCAAATCTCAGATCCAAATCCATCTGTTCATGGACCATGAATTGCTGCTATACAAAACTTCAGTTGCTCTAATATCTTTTCTTTCTTTACTGTCTGAGCCACAGCACATCAAAGGGCTACAGTGCATTCGCTTTTCAGGATATCGTACTTCCTACTTCATTTCCTTTCATCCCTTCCTCCTACCTTCCTTCCTTCCTTTTTGCCTGACATCAAATGAGCAGCTGCTTCAGAAACTCGTTCCTGGAAACATAACCATTTGCAAGTCAGTAGAGAGGGGACCTGCAGCTGGAAGTGAAGCAAAGAGAGCTCCATCTTGCAGCCCCTCTTCGCTGAACCCACAAAATTCAATTTCTGAAATAACACTTCCCTGCCTTCCCTCCTCCAGATTTTAAACTCATGGCAATGTCCACAGCCAAGGGAGATTTTTTGACTCATCAACGCCAAGCTATTACAACCATTTTCTACTTTATTTAAATTCCTTCTATCCTATGTTAAGACCTTGGGATACCATTGAAAGATGCCCTTCACTGTTCATAGGCAGCCATAGGTTTAGTGTTTTACACTGGATTTGCAAAGGGCTGAAGAATCCTATCTATCTGATGGGCTTTCGACGGGACTTGGGTATATACTGCTTTTAACCCTCTGTCAACTTAAAGAATTGTGCCTGCCTCCCTTGACAGCATTTGCAGGTGTTTCTCCACTGCGAGGAGCCACATTTGGGACAGTCAGTGCCATCAGGTAGCAATGCTATGGCAGCGCATGGCTGCAATGGAAAAGAGAAAGACTTTGTCCTATGGAAATGCCAGGGAAAAACCCATCAGAAGCCACCTGTGCTGGGCTGGGCAGCCCCCCTTCATCCTCTTGGGAGGAAGGTGCTAGTTGCTGAGCCGAGAACAAGCAATCTGAAGCCTGGCTTACTGCTTCATGCACAGCAAACCACCATCAGAGGCCTAGGGGAGGAGATGCAATGGCATCTTTACTGATCTGGGGTGAAAAGGGTCACTTCTCCAGCCTCAAACACCTCCTCCAACACCTTCAGCTAGAGACAAAGCATCATAACAGGCTATTCTGATGGCCTCATCACCCCAAATGGCACTACAAAGCTAACAAAACCACTGGGAGTCAGGCATTTCTGGGGATTTATCCTCCCAGACCCCTGTGATAATGCAAAATATAATCATCCTCCTCCCCCAGGTTTGGAATGGACACGAAGGACAGCAGAATTCTGCAACACATTTAAGCATCTCAGTCTCATTCATTCCATATACTGCATTGCTACCTAGGTCAATGGTTTGCAGCCTATAAGTGATGAGCAACCAATTACTGCGAAATCGTTCAGTGTTGCTAGTGGTCAAGGAGCTTGGGAGAGCAAAGGATTATGATTTCACAGCACAAAACTTTCTCGGTCCTGGAGTCAGTGGCATTTGGGGAACCCTCACATGAGGGGTCAGAGATTGCATCTTCTCATTTGTTTATTTTTCTTCCTCCCACCAAACTTTCTGGTACACATCTTAGCTTTTGTAGTCATCAAGAATATGAATTAAGGCACCTAACATCTCCTTCTATAACCAGTGAGACCTCATTTTAGTATGTTGCTTCCTGATTTCAGACAAAGAAATATTTGTGTAGGCCAGGGTGAAACCGGTTAAGCAAGAAAAAAAGGGGCAGATAGAAAGACAGTGAGAGACTCTCCAATGAAATGCAGGCATAGCATGATTAATAAATGAAGGCAATCAGATATCTATGGGAAAGGACTACCACTGCATATAGTAATTTCTGGTGAGAATGACAGCTGCATCATTTGTTCTTAAAAAGAAAACGCAGAACAACAGCTGCTTTCTGCCTGACTCCCAGTGGTTTTGTTAGCTTTGTAGTGCCATTTGGGGTGATGAGGCCATCAGAATAGCCTGTTAGCATTTTATTTTTTCATGCAATTATGATTCATTCCATGATACTTTCCCATGGGGAGTGAGGTCACCTATACTACAGTGGAAAGACCTCCAATGATTAAGGTAGTGACCTGAAACTCAAGTTCTTCTTGCTTCACCTCACTAAAAGAATAGTCTCGTCTTAGTTTTTATCAGCTGAGTTACAGACTCTAAACCATGATTCTTCCAACAAGCCAATCAGTCCTGTTACAGATCTCAAAAGAGGCATATACAAATGCTCAACTCTTTCAAGCACACTGCCGACAAGCACCAGAAGGGTGCAATTAAAGCTCATCTTTGCAGCTACAGAGACAAGTGGGCCAGACCAGACCCTCAGCTGCTATAAATTAGCTCATTTCCAAGGAACCTATCAGAGTTGTGTTGGCTAATTCTAGCTGAGGCTGGCCTATAACGAGAACAAGCAATCAGGAGCCTGGCTTACTGCTTCATGCACAGCAAACCACCATCAGAGGCCTAGGGGAGGAGATGCAATGGCATCTTTACTGATCTGGGGTGAAAAGGGTCACTTCTCCAGCCTCAAACACCTCCTCCAACACCTTCAGCTAGAGACAAAGCATCATAACAGGCTATTCTGATGGCCTCATCACCCCAAATGGCACTACAAAGCTAACAAAACCACTGGGAGTCAGGCATTTCTGGGGATTTATCCTCCCAGACCCCTGTGATAATGCAAAATATAATCATCCTCCTCCCCCAGGTTTGGAATGGACACGAAGGACAGCAGAATTCTGCAACACATTTAAGCATCTCAGTCTCATTCATTCCATATACTGCATTGCTACCTAGGTCAATGGTTTGCAGCCTATAAGTGATGAGCAACCAATTACTGCGAAATCGTTCAGTGTTGCTAGTGGTCAAGGAGCTTGGGAGAGCAAAGGATTATGATTTCACAGCACAAAACTTTCTCGGTCCTGGAGTCAGTGGCATTTGGGGAACCCTCACATGAGGGGTCAGAGATTGCATCTTCTCATTTGTTTATTTTTCTTCCTCCCACCAAACTTTCTGGTACACATCTTAGCTTTTGTAGTCATCAAGAATATGAATTAAGGCACCTAACATCTCCTTCTATAACCAGTGAGACCTCATTTTAGTATGTTGCTTCCTGATTTCAGACAAAGAAATATTTGTGTAGGCCAGGGTGAAACCGGTTAAGCAAGAAAAAAAGGGGCAGATAGAAAGACAGTGAGAGACTCTCCAATGAAATGCAGGCATAGCATGATTAATAAATGAAGGCAATCAGATATCTATGGGAAAGGACTACCACTGCATATAGTAATTTCTGGTGAGAATGACAGCTGCATCATTTGTTCTTAAAAAGAAAACGCAGAACAACAGCTGCTTTCTGCCTGACTCCCAGTGGTTTTGTTAGCTTTGTAGTGCCATTTGGGGTGATGAGGCCATCAGAATAGCCTGTTAGCATTTTATTTTTTCATGCAATTATGATTCATTCCATGATACTTTCCCATGGGGAGTGAGGTCACCTATACTACAGTGGAAAGACCTCCAATGATTAAGGTAGTGACCTGAAACTCAAGTTCTTCTTGCTTCACCTCACTAAAAGAATAGTCTCGTCTTAGTTTTTATCAGCTGAGTTACAGACTCTAAACCATGATTCTTCCAACAAGCCAATCAGTCCTGTTACAGATCTCAAAAGAGGCATATACAAATGCTCAACTCTTTCAAGCACACTGCCGACAAGCACCAGAAGGGTGCAATTAAAGCTCATCTTTGCAGCTACAGAGACAAGTGGGCCAGACCAGACCCTCAGCTGCTATAAATTAGCTCATTTCCAAGGAACCTATCAGAGTTGTGTTGGCTAATTCTAGCTGAGGCTGGCCTATAAGTGCTTTGCACAGCACTAGAGGGCCCATTGCAAAGTTGGCAAGGTGAAGTGGGAGTGAGTGAGGGAGTGAGTGAGTGAGTGAGTGAGTGAGTGAGTGAGTGAGTTGCAGAGGTAAGGTTACAGTGCTGTGCAGCAGCTTCTGAAAGAAGGTGTGAAGAAGAACTTCAGTGAGCTGAAGGGTGGCATTGAGGTTGGTAGGATGTATTTACTTGTGCTGGAGGCCAGCCAGGTTTGACACTGCTGTTCCCTGGGAAATCAGCCAGGACTTTTTTTTTTTTAAATCCCCCTGCCTTCTTTCTTCTGAGTTGGTTCTCTGCATCACTTTCTAGCTTTGTCT